GGAGAGGTCGTGACTATGTAGAGGAGAACATTCATCAACTACTCCTCAGAGAAAATAGAATAGAGCTAGTTGTTAGTTCGACCACTTTTCGTCGAGTTGAATTCCCATTTTGCAGGCCAAAAATTCGAGGTTTCTGCAAGGAGTTTGGAAATTTTTAAGCTCACCATTGTGTAGAGCGAGCAAATCTCTTTCGAATGGTATGTGATGAGATGTAAAAAATGGTATTTTGGTAAAAAGAAATTCTGTAAAAAAAAACTCATAGGACAGCCTAATATTGTCTGGTTCATAATCAATTGTTAAATATGTGTTCCTTTATGTTTCAGATTCGACCCGCGGGAGGGTAAATGGGAGTACGTTCGCCCGATGTCGACGGTTCGATATTTTCTTGGAAGTGCAGTCATCGATGACTATATTTATGCAGTAGGAGGATTAAATGAGTCACACTCTCCATTGAGTTCTGTTGAGAAGTATGACCCACGCCGGAATGCGTGGACTCCAGCGCCTGACATGAACAACAGGCGATATGGTGTTAGTCTGTGCACTGTATTCCTTATGCAACATGGTTCATTGAGAAAAATAAAAAGGGCTCTGTTTGCAGTCAGCTCTTGCTGTTGTCAACGAAATGCTATATGCTGTGGGTGGCTACGATGGCACTGCAGAGCAGGATATTGTTGAAGTTTTTGATCCCAAAGGAGAATCAATGGACACTTCACAGTCGTATGAATGATCGGTTGGTTGGGTGCTATTCATGATTCACCGTTCTCGTTTTTTTTTAGCGTAAGCTTTATTTTGCTTGAAGGCAGGGGTTAAGATAAATGACAGTTTGAAGAGGGGGAAATATATCTATTGAAAAGAGAGGAATGTTCCCTGGAAAAGTAGGACGAGGCCTGTTCGCTGCTAAGGTTGCACCAATAGTGGCCTAAGAAGGCCTTACCTGTGTGGGTGAAATGCCCTACCTGCGGCTGTGAAATCTCTTCGTGGCCGTCCACGCTCGCCGATAACCTACCCCAGCTGCTGGTCCCTCGCCGACAGACCAGTCGTTCGACGGAACAAAGCCCTTCCGCTTTACGGTTCTTGACTGTTCTGAGTTTCCTTCAGCCAGCTACCACCTCATAGCAGCTTTACTTTCATTCCCCGCAGGCAATCACTTTATCGTAACATCTGCCTTTGAGTGTTCCGCAGAATTGATGCAATGTCTTCTTCAGCTTCACATTTTCAGACGAAAAGGCGTAGGTGTGGGTGTTGTCTGGATGCCCTAATAGCTTCAGAGAATGAACGACCAGGAACCAGGACCTGCAGAATATTGATTGCACGATCTTTTCCAATGGTCTTCGCTGGTGTGTTATAATCAATTCTTTCGACAACCCCACGTCATTTGCATTTCTTTTAGATTATGAAAGCACTATTTTGACGATAATTGTGGGCATCTACCTTCAGTTCCGAAAAGTAAATTGACAAGCGGCTTTTGAGGTTTTCTCTCCTAAAAATTACTGGATCGTCTGCAATTTTGCACCAGTTATTTATTGAGTGTTTCCTAACCATAGAATAATATCAACCTTAGCGCAAACTGGGGCCAAAGAAATTATAGATTTTTTCGAATTTCTTGAAGGCAAGGGCGGAAGTGGTGTAGTGACAAGTGGCGCGCTTACCACGCGAGCGGTCCGGGGATCAAATCCTGGGTCGTGAGTCGCCCGGGCCAACCAAGCCTTCCATCCCTCCGGGGTCGGTTAATTGGTACCAGACTTGTCTGGGAGGATAAAAACACTGACTTGTACATCGGCTGGCCCCCGCAAGTCATTGTATAGGCCACGCATCAACGCCACTAAACGAATGTACAAATGGAAGTAGAATGCGTGCCGCATCTCAAAAGGGATTGATCAACGGCAAATGCTTTATCCTTATTTATCCTTTTATTGAAGGCAGGCGGGAACTCACGTGAGCAGTTTATTTGAATAAAATAAACTATAATCAACAGATTACTCAAGTACACAGCCACCAACATTAGCAGTCTAGCACATTGTCCAGAAACCCTCCACTTAATGAACTCACTCCTAATGAGCATGGTTTTCCATTTTCCTTGAAATGACTAAATGTTCACTCATAATCGTAGCTCTTTTTTTGACAGGCTTCTTTGCAGCTCCTCTCGCAGAGTTCTGTTAGTTTGGCTTGAGGAACTGACCTGTCTTCCATTAAAAGCACTTCATATCGGCGAAACCACTATTGCATGTGAGGGACACGATGCTTTGAGCACTACCTACCAAAAACAGAGTCAATGCCATGCGACTACCATGCTTGCGGAGACATAAAAACTTTTGGAATCCACCTATTTATTCACTACTTCATGGAACTTATGAAAGTGCTCGCTGAGAAGTGAGTGGAAGTAGAAAGTGTTCAGTCATACTTGAAATGTAAGTCCTTGCAATGTTCTAACGTCATCTTTAGCGGCGAGAATATATTTAGATATTTGACGTTGAGAATATTAGTAACCAGTTGGCGCCGCACGCAGTTGCGCTCACAAACAGTTCTGCGGCAATAAGGGATGGTGTGGGACTTCTAACATAAGCTAGATTCCATTCGCTTGTCCCTTGCTCAATCCAACGATGGCTTTTGACTTTCCCTCCCTGGGCAACCTTGTCCGCTTTTTCCCGCTCTCGGGACCGCCTCTGGATCAATTTATGAATCTTAAGGTATGCTCCACCTATTCCGCTGCACTTCCCACCCACATTTTCTCTCCTTGCCAACTTCTCTCCACTTTTTCCAGCTTCTCAGAAATGTCTGTCGGCCGATTTACATGTTTTCATCAACCCCACTTTTGGATGCATGCTCCAAGCACCATTGAAAATCCACTTCGTTTCCTTCGCCCACATTTCCCGATCTCTGGAACTTCCTGGAACCGATAATTCCGGTAACAAACTCCGCCCCCTTTGGTGCGTGCACCAATAGCGAATGTCCTTCTCTCCTCCGCCGACCCCTACCCCCTTTTCTTCCCGGTTTCTGGGGCATTTTGGAACCGAATTACGAAGTTTTTGACAAACTCCGCCCACTTGGGTGCCACCAATAGCAGTTGGAATCCTTCCCTTCGCCGACCCCTACCCCTTTTTTCCCTCTCTTCAGGACTTGTTGGGACCGGAACACGGAGTTTTTGGCAAACTCCGCCCACTTTGGTGTGTGCACCGTCCGCCAACAGGTGCTGATCTCCCCCTCCCGCAGACGATCACCACTGCCTTTTTTCTCGGAACCGTGTTATGGACTTGCTGATCGTTATATTGTAGTTGGATGCAAATTTCAGGTTGCATTTGGTTGAGTTTTGTCACCAATGTGGTTTGATTGTGACATGTTTTAGTGTACTACTTATCAAAGTTCGCCATCTTGGAAAATCTAACTTCGCCGGGTATCCGCACGCTTGCTACAATAAACAAAACATACGACCCTGGATATCACAACCTGATGCATTTTCAAGAAAGAAATGATAACACTTTCATTCTGCATAGTGCACTAGCCAAGCTGGCGGCCTGATATTCTCTACCTAAGTAAGAGCCTCTACTCCAATAATTAACTACTCCATTCTAAACTACACCAACTATTTCTATCCGACCAATCTAACAATAACATCTGAAAATGACTCAAGCCATTGCAAAAAAAAAACAAATACGAGACCAATTTAAAGCTCAAGGTTCAACGAAACTTCACAAGCACCTAGAAAAAAAAAGAAAAGAAAAAAGAAAATCCAAGTGGTGCCAAGGTAATGGACAGTCAACAGACTCTTGTACTTCTAGCCCGGCTCCAGGAAGCGATGTTGCCACCAACGAATGCACAGAAGCGCCGCCATTCGCTGTAAAGGTGGAACTCATCGATATCACCAATGGAGAGAATGATCCATCGCATCATGACGAAACGTCATGACAATGGGGTGCTTTTAATGGAGTAGCCACGTCGATCCTTTGAGCCAAACATCACAGAACCAACATCACACTATGGGGAAGCTGCAAAGACGTTTTTTTTGAAAAAGTGCCACTATTATGAGCGAAAATTTGTTTTTTCTCGAAGGAAATCGAAGAAGATGCCTCATTTAGAAGTGAGTTCATATTGACCTCAGATTTGGGACTGGATAATGTATCAACGGCTTTGGAGGGTTTTGGCAATGTGCTAGACTTGCTAATGTTAGTAGCTGTGCAGTTGATTGTTCCTTTGGGTCATACGTTATTTTATTCGAATAAAGTGATCGCGTGATTTTCCGTCTGCCTTCAATAATTTCGAAAAATCCTTTTTGACCCCGGCTTGCTGAAGGTTGATATTTTTGTGCGGTTTAGGAAAAATTCAATAAATAAGTGGTGTAAATTTGGAGACGGTCCGACGACTTCCAAAAGAGAAAACCTCTCAAAAAATCGCTTGAGAATTGATTTGGCCGTTTGGCCGCTACGGTAGTTCTTCATTGTTGACTTTGCTAAAGTAGAAAAATGATTAATTTGGAAGAAGATTGGTAATAAAAATGACCCATTTGTGATATTGAGATGTCGGATGCCGTGAATTTCTTGCTTCGATACTTCAAGAACGGGTTTTCTTCGCGTCTTTTCACAGCATAGCAATTGGGCTTGTAATTGCTAGCAATTGGCCTCTATTTCAACGCGTTTGTCGAACGTAATATTTTTTACGCGATTTTGAGTCATCTGGAAATAAATCCTTTATATTCTCATTTGTTTAGCATTCTTTGGGTTACATGTGAGGCTTCGGGTCGGACCAATTCGATAAATTCTAGAAATTCGCTCAAGTTTTTATTTTTTACCTGAAACACTAGCCTACACTTCAACGGGGGAGAAACTCGAAGGCGCGGGAGTACTCGTTTCCCCCGGTGTTCCTTCCCCAATCAAATAAAATTTTGATTAAAATTGTACCTGCCCCTTTTGAGGGTCATGCCTTCAAAGTCATGGTTGTGCGAGGAGGTAAGAAGATTAGGAAGATTCAAATCATGCTCCCACCGAGAAGCGCTGAATATCCCTTGAAGTTTTTTTAAAAAAAAAATTAGCACGTTTGGTACTTGTTTCCGTGCACATGCGAGATTTCAACCTTCAAACGCGCACAAATTTCTTGCAATATCATTAACGATTGAGACAGGGGTGACGGCGCATGCGCGTCAGCATTTTGGTAAAGTTTTGATCGCACATGCCCAATTTTTCCCAAATTTTTATGCTCATTCCATAGAACGTTGATTAGCATCCCTAGAAATCACGGGCTCCCAGAATGGCCAAGTATTCTTCTTGTTTTCATTAAAGTAAATATGTAGGTAAAAAAAGAATGATAGAAGACAATACATAGCCATTCGTATAGCCGATTTGTATAGCAAGTGATGTGTTTCTATTTGAAACAACTATGTTCAAAATAATTTTGAATCTACGAAAGCGAAAGTGGGTAAAATTTGCATTTTCACGGCCATAACAACTTCAATAACTGTTACTCCGATAAGTTAGGCACAACGACGCATTATTTAACAACAATTGGTTGGCATATTGACTCAATAAGATTGCGCATTTACTCGATACTTAGCGACCCATACGTCGGATGGCATGTGGCCTGGTGTGTCCAGTGAATAATCTCTATGATCCAGATCACGTTACGTTGTGTACGATATGACGAGTTTGCCCAGCATAAAAGGAAAAGCTGCCTAGCGTCGTTTTTTTTCCGTGGGTTTTTTGGCCTCCCGCACAGTAGCGGTGGCTGCCATCGTCCGTCCATATTCTTCCTCATCGAGCCAGTTAAAATCTGTTTTTTTTTCATCGATGTGGAGGAGAAGGTCTTTGACTCTCGACATAGCTCTCACATCAGGACTCAACGATCTCGAATCTAAAGCGCTTTGCAGCAACAATTCCGCGGTGTGCGCCGCGACTACGCTGCACCTCTATTCGCGCGAGCATTTCGAAGTAGGTTCTGGCTTACCGCTGATGATCTATACTTGCGGTTGACGACACCCTCGCCTGCTCATTAGTACCATGTACGACACCCCCTCCCCTCTCTGGTACTTGTACCAAAGCACGGTTGACTCTGCTCGTTACGCAGTTGATAGCGCGCCTTCTACCACGGAACTGTCATTGTTGTCTATTCGGACTCCGTCCATTCACCACTCGCGTATCACTCGTCCACATTCCACTCAGTCCCAGGCACGAGGAAGGGAAAGGAAATAAGTGTTTTTCAAACAAAAGGCACAGTACCAAATATTGACAACAATGAACATCACCGCAACTAAAACTGGCGTCAAATGTGATGCAACGTCGTGAAACGCACGGCCGCACCGGATTTGGCGCCGATCTTGTTGATTGGGCAAGGCTCGATCCTGTTTAGGAGTTCTGGTTTGTCAGAGCCTTTCCATTGTTCGACCATGCAGCAGCAATGTACCAGCGGTAGAGGGGGAGGCATGTCGAGGAAGGCTACTAGGATTCAGCCCAACGGGGAGGGACGATCCCGAAGGGATTGAGATTGCTTGCTCACCTCTTATTCCCTCCTCCCCTTCGATGCTTAGTCCTAAAACCAAACGTGTCCGTGAAATTGACACAATGTTACAGGCTGCCCCCACCCCCCCCCGCGGAGCCACATTGCGCCGGGACTGTCACTTTCACGAGCCATTCCTGGGAGCGTTTTCTCACAGCTTGCATGTCTGTCACATTCTGACACCGGACAGGTTTGGTTTCCTACAATCTGCAATCCACAACACATATACTAGTAAGGGGAGGGGGGCTGGGTGATCATAGTTCCTGGGGCAGGTTGATGTTAAAAGCGTTAAACGTATTAGAAATGTGTCGGAGTTGGCCCCTACTTGAGAACTGTTTTACTTCTTTTATTATCGTATTACTTCACCTTTTTTGATCTTTCAAAGAATTACCAACGCTTCTCGTATATAGTGCAGCTTTCGAGTACTGGGGTTAATCTTTGTCCCGTGCATCTTTGGGCGTATGAACATCGTTGTCCGTATGAACAGTCGGTTGTCCGATCGTAACGGTCGCGCAGCACTAGGTGCGTCGATCGTCAGACTTGCCTGAGTTTTCGGCGATCGATACGTATCTATTGCTGTGCGATAGTTACGATCGGACGACCGACTATGAATGCGTCCTATTGCAGCGTTACAGTTGCAATGAGATAGTTATTCATGCGAATGAGCGCTTGTTATGAAACTTCCCTTTCCTTTTTATTGTTGGTATAACGAGGAAATTCTTGGTAGTTCTGGTTACCTCGTGCAATATTTTATCACTAGTCCTTTGAGTGTACCTATACATATTTAATGGCATGGTTACAGATATCGCGTTCATACTGTGAATAGGTCTTGTTCCCGAAACGTAACGTCGTTTCAAAACAATGGATAGCAGCAAGAAGGCGTAAGAATGTCGTCCGACTGGAGCAGTTCTTCAGAAGAGGAAGAAGTGAAGAAGGATGTCAATAAGAAGGAAGAGATTCTTGAGTTTGAGGTAAAAACACACTAGAAGCCTTTTTCGAATTTGGGAAGACTACCAACCCAGTAACGAGAAGCGCTGCACCTGCGCCGTGCCGCGGGGGTTGCAAGGCGATGAAGACAAAAAATGGTGGTTCAACAGCAGGCGATCCAGCGGTTACGACTAAGATACCAACGGTAACATCATTCCGCTGTTGACCCAAGTTTCGATAGTGTTCCCGGACAACTTGCTGTTCGTCCGCTAGTCCCTAGTAAAAATGGTGACCGTTGTTTGAGGGCGCACCAGCGCGTTTGATGAATTTCGCATACTACCGGAGTGGCCAATGTACTTCTTGAAGCATCCGAGTTGAAGCCCTGAACAAATTTGTCAGCCGTTGGAAATTTTTTTTGAAATCTCCCTCGCCCCCCCCCCCTTAGGGGGTCTCTATAGAACCCCTGAAAAGCATCAACGAATTGACCCCATCACTAGTCCCACTGACCGTCTAACCACCACTAGTATATGATTCTAGGACAAGTTGACATCCTGCATCTCCATCCTGAAATTTAATCCAAACCTACCGGTCAGTTGTTGGAGAGAAGGGGTAAACAGGCTAAAGAAGCACCGCAGATGCTCCACTTTTGCCCATTTCATGCCTTTAAACGAAAATTTCGTCAAAATTTAAAAAGAAAAACGGTTCCCTCTCCCCTCTAAAGCTCGACCAACACAACATCTGCCACCACGCCACCCTCGTAAATCTCGAATACGGCCCCTTACCACAATCGCACATACGCAAAAGGCTGGTGTCAGAGTCCGCGATCCGTCCCAGGTTTCGCGCAAATCTCACAAGTCGCGCGTCACCTGCCAATCGCGGACTTTGACAGCAGCTTCACCCTTGAAGCTCAGATCCGTCCTTTGTTATTGGGTAATACGGTTTATGATACCACAGCTCCCATCATATCTATCTACTTTTCTGCCTGAGGAGATTTATTTCCACGTCAGTACATATTTCCTTTATCGAGGCTATTGACATGTGTCCTGCATTGCGCTGCGGAATCACCTCTTTCTGAAAGTCAAGGTCAAAATATAAGTGGAATCTGCCTGCTCACCGTTTGGTGATGCTTTGAACATGTGTTTATGGTATGCTCAATGTTTAGAGCAATTTTCACAATCGCCTCCTGTTTGCTCAACTGGCAAAATTTCGCGACAACTGTCGGCTTTGTGATGTTGTTCTGGTGGTCAAGGTACTCCGTACAATAAATTGAACAACTCGACGTATTTGAACGAGAGTTATTTCAGGGAACCCGAATCAACGCTCATCGACTCGTGCTCGCTTCCTGTTCAGCTTATTTTAAGGCCATGTTTACAAATGAAATGGCTGAAAGGCGCTTGAGTATGTTTCCAACTTTGATATATTTGTGTGATTTTTATTCTGTTACTGCATGAAATTATTGTGCACTTACACGTGACTGAAAGAGGAAAGGTGACGCTACCGTGAATGTGTGGTCTACCAAAAATTTCAATTCATGCTAGTATTTGTGTCTCATCATCTTTTTTCTTTTGAGAATGTATTGGCGCTTGTCCCGCTTTACATTGGCGGAGCCACTTCATTTCAAAATCTCCCTTCATGCACTTATTGATCTCTTTGGGAATTTCTAGGCGGTTGTCAGACCTTTGCGATTTGCGCAGCATTTTGCACCCACTTGTCAGCGGAGCGACGGAATCTGCTTCCAAAGCTGCGAGGGTCGACGGGGATTCACTCCGGCGCGCCGTGTGTATCGGTCGTCGAGCGGGTAAATCTCGGCGTCGGCTCGCACTTGAGGCGAATCCGTCGCTTTGCCAAAAATGGGCAAAATGCTCCAGTCGCAAAGTCTGTCATAGGCCTTTGGGAGTTTCTAAGCGGTTGAGCTTTATCCTGCTTTGCTATGTAACATGTTGTCTGAAACACTGAGTGGGGAAATCCTGTTTGTGCCTAGCTCAAGCAGCCGTGCTTGTGTAGGAAAATTCAACGTTTTCTTCTTCATCGGCAGTGCGTAATAGCATTCTGGGTTTTTGCGATGTTTCGTAAAGCTCGTTAGCGTGTGGATATCATCCATCGTACGTTCAGCACTTACTGCCGATGAAACACGTTAAGCTCTTCTCAGATATCGCTAGTATGCACTGGCCTAACCCTTCACCTCAAGAGGGAGTAACGTCTTCATAATTTCCGTCTTAGACAAATAACAGAAACGAAGTGATAGTGTTCGGCTACTTGTTTTGGAAGTTTGTTTTTTCGAATTTTCACCATTCTCTGCTCCCTTGCTTTGCTGTTCTCGAAAGAGGAGCCTGTACGAAAGAGACTTGGTGATCCAATGCGGAGGTTTCGAGAACAGTTGCGAGATCGTTCAAGACTCGATTAGAAAAATAGGATCTCCAATAGATGGAAATTGGCCAAACCGGCAATTTACTCAGGCGCTGCTATTTCCTCCGAAGAATATCATCATAATTACTGTATGTGAACACAACTGTTTTAACGTTTCAACTAATGAGCCGTTTTGACTGTGGCATTTTATTTTGAACTTCACCTTTTTCGATCTGATTTCGATTTTACTGTACAACTCTTTTTGAACAAGAATTTCCCGCAGTCAAAACGCCTTTTTTTGATTATTTCACAAACAATCCCCGTGTCGTGAGCGTTTTTTCTATTTCTCGTCTATTTTCGCGCTCCCTCTGCCATCCAATTACCTATCCACCCCACAGCTCGTTGCATTGTAATTAGGATCAAACAATTGGATACAGACAATCCTTTTAAATGAAAATCATGATCTATTTCAAGCTCATAAATCTTTGGCTTTGCGACATTAGCCATCATCTGATAAGAATGAACTAAGAACAGAAATTACTGCTCTTTGTCTCTTTGGCTAACAAGGCAAAAATTCGAAAAATCTCGAAAGGGCTGCCCTACGTTTCAAACAGTGGCCACGGGACCGCCGCCCCCACAGGCCGTCTTTCACTCACATGCTCGCGCACGGGATGTCTTACACTCTGCTTCTTCTGGTGTGCTTTCACAATAAACCCTTTCCTGGCCTTCTGCTGTTAATTTTTATCTTTTTCCATATCGCAGTTCACAACTTCATTCCGTTATTCTACTCGATCGATTTTGTCTCTACTACTCCCCCCCGAAATCCGCCCCACGCCGTTTGTACCTCCCGGTACGACGCACATCGCGCTTCTTTCATATGCATCGGACCTGAAACGTAAGCTGGCCAAAGGCCAACTTCTTTCCATGCCTCGCCTTTGGCTCCGCCCGAATTACCTTCGATTGTCCATAGAGTGTAGTTTTTGTACGTTTGTTTCTCTTCGGAAACCGAATCTTCATGCGTGAAACTTTGTGTGCTGTTTCCAGTGATCACAACTGACACATTCATGTCAAGAAAGAATGCAAGAATTCTCCGCGAACGATTTCCTTTAAGCTTACGTATTGAGTTGCCCAGTTAGTGAGACTGACGACATTGCTTCAAAGAAATCTCTTTGAAAAATGTCGAAAAAATCATCCTTGGTATGTCTCGTATATACACTGCGACGTGGATTTCAACTAGTCTGATCAATTCCGTTTCACCACGCAAAACGGTTGGGTCATATTCCCGTGAGGTAGCGGTCACCCAGCGAGTTCCGTCTTCTCACTTTGTTATGGGGAAACATCCTTTTGTGAAATGCACTAACAACGAAGTCAGGAACCTTCTTTCTCTTGGAGTTATGGAGCAGAGTTCAGTATTGGCAACCATACTGCTTGCTCGTGTCGCTCAGAATAGGCCGAACCCATTTTCTATCCTGAAAGGCCCTACAGTCGCACGTAGGAACTTTCAAATTTTTACTGTTGACACAAGTCAAATCTTCACACAAGTTTCTGTATAGTTTGGCGAGAGCTCAATTCGTTGGCTTTCTTTAGTTCTTCATTATTACAGGTACAGGTCAAAATTCATGCTCTTCGTCCTCAAGTCCTTTATCCCTGGTCAGTCCTGGAAGCGCTGAAACCATAGGTGGAAGAGCCTCGAAGTTTTAGCGTCACTGTTGAATGTTTTGCACATTATGCGATGAATCGCTGGCCGCTTTTCCTTGCTTTGAGTCGTACCACATGCAAACACGCAGGTTTTGATCAAGCAACTTCGAGCAAAAGTTTCGGCTTGAAAATACCCGCTCAGTGGCATCTACGATTTTCTCATACGCACTCGAAGAGGCCTTCTCGAATGAGTGATCTCCCATTGCAAGATTTTTTTCTGCTGAGAAACCAAGAGAGGGAAGCGACATTCCAACTCAGCCGACCTAATATACAACATTACGTGAAAACTCCAGATCTTATGGTTAGAGCAAAAATTTCCAGTCGTAAAAAACGACACCACTTATCGAACAACCTAATATTTTCTGAAAATTCGTTGTCTCAAAAGACAAAATGAGGCTATTTGGAGCTGCTGTTATCGTGGATGATAGCGAAGTGAAGTATAACGCAAACGTTTTGCAGAAGAAATAGAAATGGTCGACGTGGAGGCCTTGGCGCTTGATGCTCTCATTAATTTCTGCTATACTGGTAAAATAAAGATCAGTGACACCAATGTGCTGAGTATTCTTCCAGCCGCTTGCCTGCTTCAGTTGGATAAAGTCAAGGTTAGGTTCCATCTTAACGGCTTATACAAGCACTATTCAAGCTTGTAGTTCCTGTGGTCACTTCGCGTATACTGCCTTAGCGAGTTCTACGAACTTCTCAATTTTTTCAACTAGTTGCGTACCGTGTGAACACATGGTGCAGCTCGCAGATTTTCCTCCGTGGTCGGTACTGTGACATTTTACCATGCTCCTATGTCACAAAGTATAGTTTCGAATTCAAAGACTAACTTATATAGGGGGGGGGTGCAAGAAAAGATCCACTCTCCTTCCACTCAAAACGGGATTAACACGCTGACAGCAACGCGAGTTTTGGCTTTTTTGGCCACGTGGTACCGGGCGATTTTGCGGGCGCGACCGCCTCAGGTCGTTCAAGCGCGTTCAAGCAGATTTCTGAGTGATAAATACATAAATAATGATCAATACAAAACCAGATCAGTAAATTGTAATGAGCACAACCTACCAGGGGTACAGTAGTGGAATTTCGATCGAAAGACATGGAATAACAATGAAAAAGCGAAATTTGTCAGAACTAGCTGCAATGGACCTCAAAAGCAATTTTACGTTGATTATTCCAATCAAAACACACATATTGTCATCTAAGGTTCCTTATCTACTTCTACTACTATTTATGATCTTCACATATTATAATACATAAAAATAAACGGAAAAGTTTTATTAAACTGAAGATTTCGTATGGTTCAGAAATCCTCCTCTAAATTAAAGCATACGTGACCATTCTATGGCCACTATGTTTGTAGCTACGTCAAGGTCTCTTCCATAGAATAAATACAAGAAACTTCTAAGAAGAATCAGGCGTGCGCGAAAAAAATGAGTGTTATGGGTGCGGGTCCCGTCGACCACGGTCGCGACATAACTTCAGTAATGCATAGCAAATAAGAGTTACTTACTGTGAAGGAAAGTTGCAAAGAACTTTGAAGAGAGAGTTCAAGAGAACGTGAAATCGCTGGAGTGGAACCGGAGAGAGTTGACGTAACCGGGTAACTAAGTTTCCTAATGTCGCTTAATTGTGACTGCAGGTGATGTATGTTGCCTATGGTTGCGCTGACAGCATTGGCTGTGCGTTCTGACCCGTTTGTGTTGCCCACTTCGGTGGTGTCTTACTTACGGTTAAGTTTGTCATGGCTAATGTTTTATCCTGCTTGCAGGGTGTCAGTGTGAAAGTCGACCACCTCTCCGACCCGTCTTGAAACACGGACCGAGGAGTGTAACTTGTACGCGAGTCAAAGGGTGGTTAAACCCTAAGGCGTAATGAAAGTAAAGGTCGGTTAACCGGCTGACATGGGATCTACTTTTCGAAGTAGCGCACCAGTAGCGCACCATGGCCCTGTCTTGTCTGCATGCAGATGGGCAGCGGTAGAGCGTACAGGTTGCGACCCGAAAGATGGTGAACTATGCCTGAGCAGGACGAAGTCAGAGGAAACTCTGATGGAAGTCCGTATCGGTTCTGACGTGCAAATCGATCGATAGACTTGGGTATAGGGGCGAAAGACTAATCGAACCATCTAGTAGCTGGTTCCC